ATTTCCTTGAAAACAACCTACACAAGACCAAACTTAATAAAACATAAAAGCTTCAAAACAGAAATATAAAGAGAGAAACTATTTACAAACAAACTTTGGACTTGAAAAAGTCCAAAAACACTTTCATTCTAAGGTATAGCCCAATTCTCATAGCAATGCTCTGGGAATGCTACAGAATCATGAAATACCTTAACTCGTTGACAATTCACTTTAAACACCGTGTTGTCCTCCGGGTTAATGAGGTCAATCGCTCCATAAGGGTAAACTTTATGAATGACAAAGGGTCCGGACCACCTAGACTTGAGCTTTCCCGGGAATAATATCAATCTAGAGTTAAACAAGAGGACCTTCTGTTCCTCTTTCAACTCCCGGTGTTGGATCCTATTATCATGCCATTTCTTTGTCTTTTCTTTATAAAGTTTGGCATTTTATAAGACATTTGTCTTTGCTCTTCCATTTCCCAAAGTTGAAACTTTCTTTTCTTTCCGGCTTCATCCAAAGACATATTAAGCTCTTTGATAGCCCAATATGCTTTGTGCTCAAGTTCTAAGGGCAAATGACATGCTTTTCCGTAGACAAGCTTATATGGAGACATACCGATTGGTGTTTTAAAAGCAGTTCGGTATGCCCACAAAGCATCGTCTAATTTGAATGCCCAGTCCTTCCTATTGGGCTTGACCACTTTGTCCAAAATGCTTTTAATTTCCCTATTAGAGAGCTCAGCCAAACCATTAGTTTATGGGTGATAGGTCGTGGCAATTCTGTGGTTAACATTGTATTTTTCAAGAACTCCTTTTAACAAATTGTTCACAAAGTGTGTTCCCTCGTCACTAATTAGTGCCCTAGGGGTACCGAACCGTGTGAAAATCTGTTTTTGGAGGAACTTAACTATAGTTTTTGCGTCATTTGACACACATGCCATAGCCTCCACCCATTTGGATACATAGTCAACAACCACCAGTATATATTGGCAATTATTTGATGGAGGGAAAGGACCCATGAAGTCTATTCCCCAAACATCAAATAATTCAACTTCGAGTATCCCATTTAATGGCATTTCATTCCTTTTGGAAATGGAGCCACTCCTTTGACATTCGTTGCACCTTTGTGAAAAATTGTGGGAATCTTTAAAAATGGTTGGCCAATAAAAACCGGATTGTAAAACTTTGGTTGCAGTTCTTTGGCCTCCGAAATGGTCTCCGTATGGTGCATGATGGCAATGCTGCAGGATTGCTGCCACTTCAGTTTCGGGCACGCATCTTCTCAAAATCTGATCTGCACCAAGTCTAAACAAAAATGGGTCATCCCACAAGTAAGATTTAGCATCATGAAAGAATTTTCTCAACATGTGGCTTGTGTAATCAGAGGGTTTTATTCCACATGCCAAAAAATTAGCTAAATCCGCAAACCATGGTGTTTTTGGTTGGTCAATCAAGAGGATTCTTTCATCCGGAAAAGTATCACTAATGTCCATTCCTCCTTTCTCGGGCTTTTCCAACTTAGACAAATGGTCCGCTGCTTGATTTTCTACCCCATTTCTATCAATAATCTCTAAGTTAAACTCTTGTAATAAAAGCACCCATCTTATTAACCTTGGTTTTGCATCTTTCTTTGAAATTAGGTACTTGATGGCTGAGTGATCGGTATGCACAATTACCTTTGTTCCTATCAAATAGGACCTAAATCTCTCGAAAGCAAAAACTATGGCCAATAATTCTTTCTCAGTTGTGGTGTAATTAATTTGTGCTTCATTCAAAATTTTACTTGCGTAGTAGATTGAATAAAACACCTTGTCTTTCCTTTGTCCTAGTACAACACCTACCGCCCAATCAGTAGCGTCACACATGATCTCAAAAGGTTTGTTCCAATCCGGGGCAACTACCACTGGTGCGTTAACCAAAGCTTTTTTCAAAGTTTTGAATGCATTTCTGCATTCATCATTAAAATTGAATTTTTGGTCATGCTGGAGGAGTAAACAAAGAGGTTTTGAAATTTTAGAAAAATCTTTGATAAACCTTCTATAAAATCCGGCATGACCCAAAAAGCTTCTGATTCCCTTAACCGTGGTAGGTTCGGGTAGTTTTTCAATTACCTCAAGTTTTGCCTTATCTACCTCAACCCCTCTTTTTGAAATCAAGTGTCCAAGAACAATTCCTTCTTTGACAAGGAAATGACATTTCTCCCAATTTAGGACCAAGTCTGTTTCCTCACACCTTTCCAAGCTCTTTTTCAAATTATTTAAACAATTGTCAAATGATGAACCATACACAGAAAAATCATCCATAAATATTTCAATGGATTTTTCAAGCATATCAGAAAAGATGGACATCATACACCTTTGAAAGGTGGCTGGAGCATTACA